ATCAACTTGCATAATATCCAATTAATTTGCATACCATCCAATCATTGTGCTAATATCTAACAAAAATGCATGATAAAAAGGAATACTAAAATAAAATGTTATCATTAACACATATAGCTAGTTCGGTTGCTGGTTCCTAATTGCTCTCCACTCATTATACATTTCCTGAGCTATGTCATTCCTCATTGCAGTCCACTGGTCAGATGTTTGAACACTACCAACATATTCACCTTCTTCTGTATTTTGTCCATCTTCTATTATTGGCAAATTCTCCATTGGATCTACAGACATCTCTTGCCTAATAAGATTGTGTAGTAGGCAACAAGCGGTAATTATTCGACCTTGTGTCCTTATCGGATAGAAAGATGGACTCCTTAGTATCGACCACCTTCCTTTTAGCAAGCCAAAACAGCGTTCAATTACATTCCTTGCCTTAGAATGCTTCATGTTAAAATATTCTTCCTTATTAGAAGGTGTTCGTCCCTCCCATTCAGATAAATAATAAGGTATTCCTCTATAGGGTGCAAGGAATCCTTCACCATTTGTATAACCACCATCTACAAGGTAATAATAACCTCATGAAAAAAAACAGACCTTATTAGTGTTTTGTAGTTGACAAACAGAACTAGACCTAACTTACAAAGTTGAGACTAAGTAATAGTCTTACCCGCTGGTACCTTAAAACCATTAGGCCTAGTAATTGCATCATGTAGCACTCTAGAGTCTGATGCGGAACCCTCCCACCCCGGAAACACATATATGAACTGCATATCTCCTGAACACACACCTAACACATTAGTTGCGACTCGACCCTTTCTTGTTCGGTATCTTGGTTTGTCAATTTCAGGTACATGCACATCAATGTGTGTTCCATCCAATGCTCCCAAGCAATTCTTAAAAAAAAAAAAAAAAGTTTTTGTTAATTTATACAAAGGGAATGAAGAGTTAAAGATTAGGGAAAATGAAAAAAAAATTCTCATCATACCTTAAAACATCGCCACCTAGGATCTGTAGAATCAATAGGCACAGGCTGAGGGACTTTTAGTAGGATACCTTGTAATCGCAAAATTCCTTGCAATACGCTATTGAAATACCTACTTATAGTCTCTCCCGACCTATAAAATCTACCGCCAACACTACGATTCTTAGTATGATGTGCTAATATTTGTAAAGTCATACACACCTGCTCCTCTACAGACACCAAACCATCAGTTTTTACCCTCCCATCTTGACGAAGTAAGTCACATAATATGCCAAAAGTCCTTCTATTCATTCTCAATTTGTTGACACATTCAGTATCAGTATTCCCTATTATACCATTCAGATAACACAAACTAATCTCTCGTCTAATAAGTGAACGGTTAGTCAATGTGGGTCGTTCAACATGTCTCTGTTTGCCACGTAGCATCATCAACACAAGAATCGTACAAATACAAATTGTCTCCAAATAAGACATCTCTAACAATAAGATCAATAAAAGCTTCATTCGATCCATATCTATCCAAACCAAAAAAAAAACAAAAAACAAATTAAGGACATTATATATGTAATATTTACTGTTATTAAGGGTGATGGAAATGAAGTGATTATGATACGAAATGAACTAGATCAAAGTAACTAGCGAAGTCACAATCCGATGCATCAAATATACGGGTGGTGTTGGAAAAAAAAAAGTTATCATTAACCCGAGGCAACAAATATACAAGTGGCGTTGAAAAAAAAAAGTTATCATTAACCCGAGGCATCATATTCAAAATGTTCTACTCTTATACATCTATAAACATGTGTCTAAGAACACTAGTATGAGGATTGCTATCATTGCTAGGCATTGCATGTGAAGAGGGAAATTAAAGGACACCTGTAATGCAGTAGCATTAGCCTTCCGTTTATGCTCCTCTTCTCTGCAACCAACAACCACAAAAAATTGCAATTCAGCATCAACCCCACACAATACAAAACATTCACATTGTAATATCATGGTTATAAACCAAGTACACACACACACACTCATGGACAAATGTGCAAAATACACATACATACTCACACTCACACTCACACTAACACACACACACGGACATACACACTCTCACACACTGACATAGACTCACACACACCCTGCATACATACACACACACACACTGCATACACACTCACACACACACTGCACACACACACACACTGCACACACACACACACTGCATACACACACACACACTGCATACACACTCACACACACACACACACTGCACACACACACACACACTGCACACACATACACTGCATACACACTCACACACACACTGCGCACACACACACACACTGCACACACACACACACACTCACACACAAACACAGTCACACACACACACACGGGGACAGAATGCAACACACTAACACATACACACACTGCATACACACACACACACTGCACACACACTCACACTCACACTTACACTCACACTCACGCACAAACACAGTCACACACACACACACACGGGGACAGAGTGCAACACACTCTTACCCTCACACACACACTCTGTTTTTATACTCACACACACACACACACATACACACACACACACACATACACACACACACACCCACACACACACTCACACACAAACACAGTCACACACACACACACACGGGGACAGAATGCAACACACTAACACACACACACACTGCATACACACACACACACTGCACACACACTCACACTCACACACACTCACACTTACACTCACACTCACACACAAACACAGTCACACACACACACACACGGGGACAGAGTGCAACACACTCTTACCCTCACACACACACTCTGTTTTTATACTCACACACACACACACACACACACACACACACACACTCACACACAAACACAGTCACACACACACACGGGAACAGAATGCAACACACTAACACACACACACACTGCATACACACACACTCACACTCACACTTACACTCACACTCAGACACAAACACAGTCACACACACACACACGGGGACAGAGTGCAACACACTTTTACCCTCACACATACACTCTGTTTTTATACTCACACACACACACACACACACACACACTCACACACAAACACAGTCACACACACACACACACACACGGGGACAGAATGCAACACACTAACACACACACACACACACTGCATACACACACACACACACACACTGCATACATACACACATACACACACACTGCATACACACACACTGCATATATACACACACACACACTGCATACATACACACACACACACACACTGCATACATACACACACACACACGGCATACATACACACACACACACTGGTCAGCTGCACACACTGCACTCACACGGACATACACACTCTCACACAGTGACATACACTCACACACACCCTGCATACACTCACACACACCCTGCATACATACACACACACCCTGCATACATACACACACACACACTGCATACACACACACAAACTGCATACACACTCACACACATACTCACACGGACATACACACTCTCACACACGGACATACACTCACACACACCCTGCATACATACATACATACACACACACACACACACTGCATACATACATACATACACACACACACACTGCATACATACACACACACACACTGCATACATACACACACACATTGCATACATACACACACACACACTGCATACATACACACACACACATTGCATACATACACACACACACACACACTGCATACACACACACACACACACACACTGCATACATACACACACACACACACACACACACACACACTGCATACATACACACACACACACACACTGCATACATACACACACACACACACACACACACTGCATACATACACACACACACGGCATACATACACACACACACACTGGTCAGCTGCACACACTGCACTCACACGGACATACACACTCTCACACACTGACATACACTCACACACACCCTGCATACATACACACACACACACACACACACACTGCATACACACACACACACACTGCATACATACATACACACGCACACACACTGTATACACACACACACACTGCATACACACACACACATTGCATACATACATACACACGCACACACACTGCATACACACACGCACACACTGCATACACACACACACATTGCTTTATGAAAACCCCAAATTCCAAATTTGAAACCGCAAATTCCAAATTTCTACTGCATACTTACATACACACACACACTTCTTTATGAAAACCCCAAATTCCAAATTTCAAACCCCAAATTCCAAATTTCTAATCTCAATTTCAAACCCCAAATTCCAAGCTTTATGAAAACCCCAATTTCTAATCTCAATTTCACCTAAATATCAAAACCCTAAAATTTGTTCAACTGCAGAATCAAATAAAGCTCAATCCCAAAACAAATCCGCCCAAATCGACGAAAAAAATCCACCCAAATCGACCCAAATCGACGAAAAAAATCGAACAATCGAAGCTTACCAGACAACTGGAGGCAGATGAGGGAGAGCAGATCTGTTACGTGAAGATGAGGGAGCGGACGACGAGAGGAACAGAGGAGGAGCAGGATGCAGATGAGGGCGACCAGGATGCAGAGGACGACGTGAGGGAGGACGACGTGAGGGAGGAGGTCTTACGAATCCGGACGTTTTTGGGGTGGTTCGCTAAGAACTCCTAGCGAGGGGTTTAATCCGTGCGAGTCGGATCTAATCCCATTAAACCTAATCCTTGCCCCTACCAAACATCAGACTACAATACCAATTAGTGTAGTCCAGTCCAGTCTCCCCTAAGAAGGTCAAACAAACACGCCCTTAATGTACTAAATGTTGAAAACCACGAAATATGAGGATAGTAAACAGTATTTTATCCTATAATTAAATGAAAATAGAATTAAGGGGGAAAAACAAGAAGAAAACGGTGACGTGTTCAACATTTTTAAGTTGGGCCTGTACGGCTCATTAGCCCAAGAAAATGAAATTTTGGGTGCTGTAACTTGGAAGTGGGGCGAGGACGGGGTTGGGTTGTGCATGCAAGTTGCAACAACGACGGTCGTAGTTTCAGTTTCGGGCAGTGGAGCAGCAAATAGCAATGCAAGGAGGATCATCGGGGATCGGGTATGGTCTGAAATACCAGGTGAACTTTTGAAATCCTAATCCCCACTTCCCTTCTTTTACCCTCTCTTCCCCAAATTCATGAACCCTACTGATTCGATTCCGATTCCCATTCGAACAATCGAACAATCGGCCAGGCTAGATGTATATCAGATGTTAAAGCCGACACAGATCATACTAGCTTCATCACCGGCACTCTCAGCCTCAAAGAAGAAAACGAGGTTTGCCTGCCTGCCTTCTTCCCTCTCGTCGAATTCTTTCAAACATAATCGGTGGATCGGAATAATTGAATTGAATTGAATTGAAATGTTGAAATTGAGTAGGTGCATTTGATTCGGCTTTCTTCCGATGGAACCGAACTCGTGTGCGAGGGTTTGTTTTCTCACCCCAACGAGATCTGGGACCTTGCTTCCTGTCCCTTCGACCAACGCATCTTCTCTACTGTTTACTCTACTGGTAATTGCTATTCTGTTTTCTTTTCTTTTAATTTTTTCTGATTATTTCGGATTTCCCCTGATATGATACCTTTGAACTTTTTGAACAACGCTTGGATGACATATTCTCACTGTTAATTGGATGCTTTTCCTCTTTTATCTTTCCTATTTCTCTCTAAGTTTTATGCTAATAATAATGGTAATTATGCATTTTCATCTCTTATTTTATATTGCTTCTCTATTTGTATTTTGCTTTCAATTCTCTCCAAGTCCAGTATGTCAGACATTGGCAGTGTTTTTACAAAGTTCAATGTGCTTGAAGGCGAGTCATACGGAGCAGCAATATGGCAGATCCCCGAGTTATACGGTGAATTGAATTCCCCTCAGTTGGAAAGAATTACCTCCCTCGACTCACAATTTGGCAAGATCAAGTGGTCAGTATGTTAAGCCTGCTCTTTCTCTCGGCATCATTTAGTTGCCCAATTGTGTTTTATTAATTTCGAAGTCATCTTTCATCCTCCCAACCATTTTTTCTTTTCTGTTGTTGTCTTTTTTGGAATGAAATAGAAAGATGTATGCATCTCTAGAAATATAAATTATTACTTTAGTAGTTAAATTTATTATGTTATGCTTAGACCATCTCCAACCCTTGGGCTAAAACCCAAATTTTTTAGCCCAGAAAATTTAGCTTTTAGCCCAGAAACATCTTTTCTGCTCCAACCCTTCTACCTTAAATTTTTAGCCCGGAATTATTAAAGAATGAAATTAGCCTAAATTTTTTTCTTAAATCAATTTAAAAAAAAAAAAAATATGTAGATTATTGTAAATTAATTTTATGAACATTTTAATCTAAAAAAATTTAAATTCCGATAAACATTTCGCATTTAGCCCAGGGGGAAAGCTGGGGGGTATTTGGCCCAGAAATAGCATTTGGCATTTAGCCTAAAATTTTAGCATGGGTTGGAGAGTGTTTGGGGGGTAATTTGGCTTTTAGCCCAGGGTTGAAAATGGTCTTAGAACGAAGATGCTCATCTAATGTTCTTGGATCATGTAAGTTTGTGGAGGAGTATTTGGTGTTCTTGTAACAGGTGTTACTTTGCAATAAATTTCTTGTGGAATATAACTCGAGTTTGTTTCGTGTTATTTGTTTTGAGATGTGGTTTGGTATGAACTTTGTATTATATGTTGGACTCATTGATTCTTTCCATGTTATTTTTGACTCTCTTATGCAATGTGAATATACATTGAACAGCATTCTTTGGTGGCCATCGGGAAGGCATGATAAGTTGATCAGCATTGATGAAGAAAATTTGTCCTTGTGGAGCTTAGATTTATCCAAAAAAGCGGCTCAGGTAATTTTATGATGAATTTCCTTTAGAAATTTCTCGTCAATCATCCGCATATGTGATACATGTTTATGGATAAGTAACCAGATTCTGTCTCTTTTCAAAATTTAAAATGGGAAACTTTGGTTCCAGTTGACCAAAATCTTAGACTAAAACGTTATTTATTTGAATACTTTGATTGAAGGACAAAATATTAAATTTCAGTATTAATAAATAATTTTAATAACGAAAATTAACAATTCCCTCCTAAAATCATGCAAAGTTTAGTACCAAATAGGGATTTTTAATTTTTTCCTCAAATTTGAATTATGTGAAATTAGATCAAATTCTTTATTTATTACAAAATAATTTTTTTTTAATTTTTAAATTTGGGTACGTTAGGGTACATTTTATTATAAAATATGGATATAGTATAGTTAAAAAAAAATTGGTTGGTTTTACATAGAACAAAGTGGTACATTTTTTTTTATTTATGAAAAATGGTATATTTAGGTTCTCATCCCTCATTTTTTTAATTTCATTGATTGAAACCTTATTCCTTTTCAATTTTTGATCAATGTCCTTTGGTTTTTATGCATATAATTATTTCAATAATATAATATTTACATGTTAGCATACTTCAATTTTATAATTAAAAATTATTTAGCCACTTCCAAATAGATCCCTTTAGTGTTAGAAACTTTACATTTGATATAATTATACTAGTATATGTGTGTGAAAGTTTTTTATATTTTGTTTTTAAAATTAAAGGAGAGATGAAGAGAGTGGGAGAGAGAGAACGTAGTTTTTTATATTTTGTTTTTAAAATTAAAGGAGAGATGAAGAGAGTGGGAGAGAGAGAACGTGGGAGTGGGGAGGTGGGGAGAGAGGTTATTTTTTATTTTTTGAATTTTTAAAAAATTAGAGACATTAAAATCACTTGTAGGTGTGGCTTAAACAAAAAAACAGCAAAATTTCGTTTTGTGAATTTACAGTATTGTCCTTAATTTTTTTTATTGTGATAGAAGACTAAATAGTTTTTTCACCCTATTTTGGTTGACAAAAAGGGTTCTATTAATATGTTTTAATTTTTTATTTATTTTTTTAAATTAGAGATGTTAAAATCATTTATAGGTTTAAACAAAAAACAACAAAATTTCGTTTTGTGAATTTACGTTACTATCTTTAACTTTTTTGCTGTGATAGAAGACTAAATAGTCTTTTCACCCTCTTTAGGTTGACAAGGAGGGTTGTACTAATATGTAGTTTAGATTTTGTGACAAATGCATTTTCAATATGTACCTAAATTTAATTTGCAACCATTTTTTTAGTTTTAGTTTGTACCCATATATTTTTGTGCCTGTATTTTTAAACTTTTATTTGTACCCATATTTTTTTAATCTTTTATTTGTACTTCTAAATTATTTATAGTGTACCCATTTTTCATTAAAAATGTACCACTTTGTTATATATACGTAAAATGTAAATGTACCCATTTTCTTAATGTAATCTATTCACTTTTATTTTATTTTATTTATATACCATATTTTATAATATTTTTTATTATTATTTAAAATGGACCAACAACAACAACAATAAAGCCTTATCTCATTAAGTGGGCTCGGCTATATCGCCATTGCGCTTGGTTCTGTGCCACGTCTTCCGTTAGATTCAAGTACTCTAAGCCTTTTCTTAGAGTCTCTTTCCAAATCTTCCTAGTTCTTTCTCTACCCTTTCGACTCTGAACTTCTGTCTCGTAATCGCATCTTCAAACCGGAGCGTCTGTAAACATTCGTTTCACATGTCCAAACCACCTTAACCGATTTTCTCTCATCTTTCCTTCAGTCTCGGCTATTCCTACTTTACCTCGAATATCCTCATTCCTTAGCCTTTCTCGTGTGCCCACACATCCAACGAAGCATTTTCATCTCCGCTACACTCATTGTATGTACGTGTTGATGCTTCACCGTCCAACATTCCGTGCCATAAAACATTGCTGGCCTTATTGCCATCCTAAAAAAATTTCCCTTGAGTTTTAGTGGCATACAACGGTCGCACAACACACATGATGCACTTTTTCACTTCATCCATTCAGCTTGTATTCTATGGTTGAGGTCTACATCCAACTCTCCGTTCTTTTGCAAGATAGATCCTAGGTAGTGAAAGCGGTCGCTCTTTGGTACTTCCTGATCTCTAATCCTCACCCCTAACTCTTCTGAACCTCCATTTGCACTGAACTTGCACTCCATATACTTTGTCTTTGACTAACTTAGGCGAAGACCTTTAGATTCCAACACTTATCTCCAAATGTTAAGCTTCGCATTTACTCATTCCTAAGTTTCATTTATCAACACTATATCGTTTGCGAAAAGCATACACTAAGGAATATCATCTTGAATATGTCACATTAACTCATCAATTACCAATGCAAAAAGGTAAGGACTTAAAGATGAGCCTTCATGTAACCCTACAGTTATGGAAAAGCCTTCGGTTTGTCCTGCATGAATTCTTACGGCAGTCCTTGCTCCATCATACATATCCTTTATAGCTTGGATATATGCTATTCGTACTCCTATCTTCTCTAAAATCCTCCAAAGAATGTCTCTTGAGACCTTATCATATGCTTTTTCCAAATCTATAAAGACCATGTGCAAATCCTTTTTTCATACCTCTATATTTTTCCATCGATCTTCGTAAGAGATAGATTGCCTCCATGGTTGAGCGTCTGACATGAACCTGAATTGATTGTCTGAGACCCGTGTCTCTTGCCTCAGTCTATGCTCAATTACTCTATCCCAAAACTTGATTGTATGACTCATTAACTTAATACCCCTATAGTTCATGCAATTTTGTACTTCCCCACCTTATTCCTGTAGATAGGCACCAAAGTGCTCTTTCGCCACTCATTTGACATCTTCTTCGTTTTCAAAATCTTATTAAAAAGGTTTGTGAGCCATGCTATACCCGTCTCTCCCAAGACTTTCCACACTTCGATCGGTATATCATCTGGGCCTATTGCTTTTTTATGCTTCATCTTTTTCAAAGCTACAACCACTTCTTCCTTCTTAATGCGATGGTAGAATGAGTAGTTTCTACACTCTTTTGAGTTACTCAACTCCCCCAAAGAAGTACTCCTTCATGTCCTTCATTGAAAAGATTATGCAAATAACCTTTCCGTCTATCTTAGACCGCGTTCTCTTTAGCAAGAACCTTTGCGTTCTCATCCTTGATGCACCTCACTTGGTTTAAGTCTCTTGTCTTCTTTTCCCTTGCTCTAGCTAGTTTATAGATATCCAACTCTCCTTCTTTGGTATCTAGTTGCTTATACATATTGTCAAAAGCCGCTAGCTTCGCTTCTCTTACCTCCTTCTTCACTATTCTACACCTTTCATCGTTTTCATTATTTAAAATGGACCAATATTTAAAAATAAAAATATTCAAAATAAGAAATTTGATCAGTTTTCTCACAATTCTAATTTGAGAAAAAAAATTAAATATCCCTATTTGATATTAATCGTTGCATGATTTTAGGAATGATTTAATAACTTTGTTATCAAATTTCTTACATGATATTGAAATTTAACATTTTTTTCTTCAATCAAAGTATTCAAATTAATAAAGTTTCAATCTAAGATTTTAGTCAATCAGAACCGCATCCAAAGTTTCCCTCTTAAATACATGAATGGGTGCATTATAAATAAATTAAGGGTACAAATAAAAGGTTTAAAATTATGGGTACAAATAAAAGATTAAAACAATGATGGGTGTACACAAGGTTCTAAAAGACGCTAGTCGAGCGGAGGTCAAGGGCCTAGCGCCTAGGCAGTTTTTTAAATTTTAATTAAATTTATTATATACCATATAAATAAATATTTGCTTATACTTAAAAAAAATACATAATTATATTGAGATACATAAATTGCAAAATAGAACAACATAGATTATAAGGTATTACAACATATTGAAAACATGGAAGCATATAAGGAGTGTTCATCCAAGTATTCAACAAGTCTGATAATTTATTGAAAAAATAAAATGCAAAATGAAATGTGTGTTCATTCAAGTATTCAACAAGTCTATGATAATTTATTGAAAAAATAAAATGCAAAATGAAAGTTATCTATTTTTTGGTAAGAGTCACGATCTAGTTGGGTGCCTAGCGGGCGCCTAGGCAAGGTTAGCCGCCCTTTTTTAATTTTCATACGCCTAGGGATTAATTGGGATGGTGGTCAGCCGCCTAGCGCCTGGACTTGGATTTTTAGAAGAGTGGGTACACATAAAAATTTCAAAATATGGGCAGTAAAAGAAATTAAATATATGGGTATAAATTAAAACTAAAAAAATTGGCTGCAAATTAAAAAATGGTTGCAAATTTAAAAAAATGGGTACAAATTAAAAATAGATATATTTGGAAATGGTTAAATAATTTTTAATTATAAAATTGAATATGCTGACATGTAATTGAAATAATGACGTGGATAAAAACCAAAACTTACTTATGCATGAACCGAAGAAGAATAAAATGTTATTGTTGTGAGCAAGGTAGGAAGGAAAAGACAACGAAATTTTCCTCTCACTCTCTCACGTATGTTTTGTATTCAATCTTGTTACCATAATAAAACTTATTGGCCTTTCAAGATCTTAAAAGGCTTAGAAGTCAATGGTATATCACTTTCAATTCCAGAGTGATTCTTATTTAGGTTTGTTTTCCGAGTCCAGGTACAATCACAGGAGTCAGCTGGTGTGATGCACTACTTGTCTGGTGGTGCATGGGATCCACATGATATCAATGCTGTTGCAGCAACATGTGAATCATCCATTCATTTTTGGGATCTACGAACAATGAAGTACGTATTAACACTTGCATTGTTTTTATTTGTTAAACAGGGCCAACATGGATTTTCAAACTTAATTAGTCAAATCCTCATGTGAAGCATCTATTCAGTTTTGATAGTTCACATGAAGGGCTGCCTAGGGATGGCTACTGTGGTACTGCTGTACTACTATAGGGACTGGCTTGTCATTCTGCAGATTATATTTATTATCAACGAAGAATGAACAGAGCTATTTTAGGGACTGTTACTTGTTTGAGGTTTTTGTCATCAATATCCTTTCTTGATCAATAATAGTTACCGTTTATATGCAGGAAGACAAATTCTATTGAGCATGCTCACGTTCGCAATGTTGATTATAACCCCAACAAGAAACACGTGCTTGTAAGAATGTAGTTTTCTATTCCTCTGAGTGTGCTTGTTTCATTCGCTGTCTATATTTAATTCAATTCGTTCTCTTCAATTATTCTCTCGAGTCAATTCTGAATTTGAGAACTTGCAAGATGTTCACATAACTTGCATGCTCGACTCATGCACTGACACAGAGACAAGGATTAGTCTATTGTGTTGCATAAAAATCGAGTAACAGTATTCTCATCTCACAAGAAATCTGTCTACCTTCAAAATACATTAGAGCATTTCACAGAAAAAATGAATGACAGGGTCTACTTATGTCTTCCAAAATATATAATGATTAATTGATAGGGTGTACTTATGTCTTCCAAATTATATAATGATTTTTTCTTTTTCTTTTTCTTTATCATTTCTCAACATGGCAGTTATCACGATCATTTGTTTCTGTTACTATAGCACAAATTGTTAAACACTTTTACAGATAACTGCAGAAGATGAATCTGGTATACATGTATGGGATCTTAGGAAGCCAAAAGTGCCTATCCAGGAGCTTCCAGGACACACACACTGGTAAATATTTTCTGTACTGTTGCATTTCGGTCTCTTCAGCCATGGTATTGCCTGATGACCTTTTGTGTTCAGAATTTTTGGGATGTTCATACTGTATCAAAGAAGTGCCAATAATTGCTAACTTTAATTGTCTGATCGTTACCTCTTGAAATATTTTCAGGACATGGGCTGCCCGGTATAACCCTGAGTACGATGGGCTGATTTTGGTTTGTTCTCTCTCTCTCTCTCTCTCTCTCTCACACACACACACACACACACACACACACACACACACACACACGCACGCACGCACAATGCTTACATGTTTTAGTACATTGAACACTTTCTGATAAAAGTATTCTATTGCAGAGTTCCGGTACAGACTCAGCTGTCAACCTGTGGTTTGCTTCTCCATATAACAATGATGAGTCTGAACGGTAGTGTACTTGCCCTGACACTCCATAGATTCTTTTGCGTTGACTAATTACACTCTTTGATTTTACTGATGTGGTTCTTATCATGTCTTAACTCCGCCTATGTCTTACATGGCCGGTCCCAAGCCCGGATAAAGGAGGAGGGGGAGGGCGTCAGGTAGTCGACAGCCGGCACTCCATGATCACGTCGAATCCTTATGAAAATGAATCCAGAACAAAATCGCGCTAAAGCTAGGGCGTCACCCGTAAGTGGCGCGCTGTGTGGCCTGAGCACAGTGATAAGTGAGCAAGGGTCGCTGTATCTCCATCGGCACCCGGATGCAGTGTTAAATGAGCAAGGGGGCCATAGAAACTTCTTTTCGAACGACTCCACTCAAAGTTGTTTGGGAGCATATGCTCCTATCAACTTTACCCGGGACACACAAAAAGAAGTACTTTGATCCTATTAGACGGGGGAGGGTGAAGAAGCTAGGACAGAAGGGTAGAGTTCAAGAGAGCAAAATGCGTTTAGGAACGTGGAATATAGGAACCTTAACGGGAAAATCTATGGAAGTAGTGGAAGTTATGGTGAGGAGAAGGATAAATATTATGTGCCTACAAGAAACTAAGTGGGTTGGTAGTAAGGCAAGGCAAAGGATCTAGAAAACTCAGGGTTTAAACTTTGGTATTCGGGCACAAATAGAAAGAGAAACGGTGTTGGCATCATCGTGGACAAGACCTTGGTACACAAGATGTTGTAGATGTCAAGAGGGTAGGAGATAGAATCATGGCAATCAAGATTGTAATAGGACAAGAACTTATCAATGTGATTAGTGCGTACGCACCTCAAGTAGGGTTGGATACGAGTTCGAAGGAGAAATTTTGGGAAGATCTTGGAGACTTGGTGCAAGGAATTGCTCAGACGGAGAAGTTATTTATAGGAGGAGATTTAAATGGACACGTGGGCAGGGAGACAGGCAACTATGGAGGTTTTCATGGTGGCCATGGTTTTGGGGAGAGAAACGAGGATGGGGAAGCTATCTTGGATTTTGCAATGGCATATGATCTCTTCTTAGCCAACACCTTCTTTAAGAAGAGAGAAGAACATGTGATCACCTACAAGAGTGGGTCGTCAAAAACACAAATAGATTTTTCTTCTAATGAGGAAAGGGGATCGTATAACTTGTAAGGATTGCAAAGTTATACCAGGAGAGAGCGTGGCTAATCAACATCGCTTGTTGGTGATGGATGTACATATCAAAAGAGTAAGACAAAAGAACAAGACTTGGAAGTGCCCAAGGACTAGATGGTGGAATCTAAAAGAAGAAAAAACAAGCCATTTTCAAAGAGAAGGTAATCACCCAATGTGTGTGGGATAGAGAGGGGGAAGCTAGCCAAATGTGGGATTCCATGGCTAGTTGTATCCGAAAAGTAGCAAAAGAGGTATTAGGAGAGTCCAAGGGCTTTGCCCCACACCAAAAGGAATCTTGGTGGTGGAATGAGGAGGTACAAACAAAGGTGAAGGCTAAGAAGGAATGTTGTAAAGCCTTATACAAGGAGAGGACCGATGAAAATGGTGAAAGGTATAGAAAAGCGAAGCAAGAGGCGAAGAAAGCTGTCAGAGAAGCTAAGTTAGCGGCTTACGACGATATGTATAAACGACTAGATACCAAAGAAGGAGAGTTGGATATCTATAAAACTATCTAGAGCAAGGGAAAAGAAGACAAGGGACCTAAACCAAGTGAGGTGCATCAAGGATGAAGGATGGAAAGGTTCTTGCTACAGAGAACGCGGTTAAAGACAGATGGAGAGGTTATTTTCATAATCTTTTCAATGAAGGACATGAAATGAGTGCTTCTTTAGGGGAGTTGAGTAACTCAGAAGAGTGTAGAAACTACTCTTTTTATCGTCGAATCCGGAAGGAAGAAGTGATTGTAGCTTTGAAGAAGATGAAGCATAAAAAAGCAATAGGCCCAGACGATATACCAATCGAAGTGTGGAAACTTTTGGGAGAGACAGGTATAACATGGCTCACTGACCTTTTCAATAGGATTTTGAAAACGAAGAAGAAGATGCCAAATGAGTGGCGAACGAGCACTTTGGTGCCTATCTACAAGAATAAGGGCGACGTACAAAATTGCATGAACTATAGGGGTATTAAGCTAATGAGTCATACAATGAAGCTCTGGGAGAGAGTCATTGAGCATAGATTGAGGCAAGAGACACGGGTTTCGGACAACCAATTCGGGTTCATGCCAGGGCGCTCAACCATGGAGGCAATCTATCTCTTACGAAGATTGATGGAAAGATATAGAGATGGGAAAAAGGATTTACACATGGTCTTTATAGATTTGGAAAAAGCGTATGATAGGGTCCCAAGAGACATTCTTTGGAGGATTTTAGAGAAGAAAGGAGTACGAGTAGCATATATCCAAGCTATAAAGGATATGTATGAAGGAGCAAAGACTGCCGTAAGAACTCATGAAGGACAAACCGAAAGCTTTCCCATAACTGTAGGATTACATCAAGGCTCATCCTTAAGTCCTTACCTTTTTGCGTTGGTAATGGATGAGTTAACAGGACATATTCAAGATGATATTCCTTGGTGTATGCTTTTCGCAGACGATATAGTGTTGATAGATGAAACTCAGGAAGGGGTAAATGCAAAGCTTAACCTTTGGAGAGAAGTGTTGGAATCTAAAGGTCTTCGCCTAAGCCGATCAAAGACAGAATATATGGAGTGCAAGTTCAGTGCAAATGGAGGCCAAAACGAGTTAGGGGTGAGGATCGGAGATCAAGAAATACCAAAGAGCGACCGTTTTCGTTACCTAGGATCTATCTTGCAAAAGAACGGAGAATTAGATGGAGATCTCAACCATAGAATACAAGCTGGATGGATGAAGTGGAAGAGTGCATCCGGCGTGTTGTGTGACCGCCGTATGCCACTGAAGCTCAAGGGAAAATTTTATAGGACGGCAATAAGGCCGGCGATGCTGTATGGCACAGAATGTTGGGCGGTGAAACATCAACACGTACACAAAATGGGTGTAGCGGAGATGAGGATGCTTCGTTGGATGTGTGGGCACACGAGAAAGGATAAGATTAGGAATGAGGATATCCGGGGTAAAGTAGGAGTAGCCGAAATTGAAGGAAAGATGAGAGAAAATCGGTTACGGTGGTTTGGACATTTGGACATGTGCAAAGAAGGCCTACTGACGCTCCAATTAGAAGATGCGACTATGGGACAGAGGTTCAGGGCCGAAGGGGTAGAGGAAGACCTAGGAAAACTTTGGAAGAGACTCTAAGAAAAGACTTAGAGTACTTGGATCTAACGAAGGACATGACACAGGATCGAGCACAATGGCGTTCTAAGATTCATATAGCCGATCCCACTCAGTGACTTGGATTTTCCAAGTCTCCAACCGAGAAGTTTTCCTCACTCTCGGGAAATTAAGGGAACACTACCCCAACCTACATGCTCCACTCAGAAAGCTTCAACATACAAGCTTCAACAAAAGAAAATTCAAAGAACTTAGCGAAGAAGGCTTTGGTGTATTTAACACAATACGTTGAAATGAAGGAAAGCTTATTTATTGATATCCCCGATAAGCTACAAATATGTACATATACATGAGTCAAAATAAACACACAAGAGGGAGCCTTCACAAAGGTTGCTTAGGAGAAGTCTCAGCAGTCGGTAGAGCCCCAGAAAGAGAAGGCACCGGAGGGGGATCATTTGGAGCCTCAGTACTGGACAGAACCCTAGAAGGAGGAGGCATCAGAGGTTGATCATTTGGAGCTTCATTACGCGGTACAGCCCCAGAAGACGAAGGCAATAAATGCCTTTGGAACAAACCCACAAATCTCTGATGATCAAGTAAAACCTGACCATCAGTTTCCTTCATCTGGTCAAGCTTCCTCTTCATGTTTGTAGCATAGTCATGTGCGAGCCGGTGCAACTGTTTATTCTCATGCTTGAGCCCTCTAATCTCCTGTTTGAGACTCATCACTTCAGCCGCCAATGATTCAACTTGGCGGGTTCGAGCAAATAGGCGTTGGGCCATATTAGACACAGAACCTGCACACTGAACACTGAGAGCCAGCGAATCCTTAACAGCTAACTCATCAGACCGTTTGGAAAGTAGTCTGTTATCTTTGGGAGTGAGAAGGTTCCTGGCCACCACCGCAGCGGTCATATCATTCTTCATCACGGAATCCCCAACGGTAAGAGGACCAGTAGGGGAGACGAAGGATGGGCGCCATATGTTGTCTGGAGAAGGCGGGGCTGCCTCTTCAACAAGGTTCAAGTCAAAACGACGGTCGGAGGGGCCAGACATTTTCAAAGGTGTTGAAGAGAGAAGAGGTCGGACAAATCAAGATCTTAGAAGTGCAAGAATGAAGCTTCTACTGGTGGAGATTCAAGTGTGCTTTAGAACTTAATGCTAGCCCCTATAAAAATCTGCACTCGACGGAGCTTCAGAAATCGAAGAGGCGCCTGCTCAGAAATCGAAGAGGCGTTTGCTTTCTCAAAAGCTGAGCTGCTTAGAGATCACGAGGGTTGATCTCAGAAATCGAAGAGGCTTTTGCTTTCTCAAAAGTTGGGCTGCTCAAAGACCACGAAGGCCGATCTCAGAAATCGAAAAGGCGCTCGCTTTCTCAAAAGCTGGGCTCCCCAGAGACCACGAGGGCCGATCTCAGAAATCGAAGAGGCACCTATTTTTCCAGCCTTGTCAGCACCTGTCACACGCACACTCAGCTTTGCGGAAATTATGGGCATTCTGTCGAAGACTTCTAGGGAAGTAGAAAACACATGAATCTTACTGTTCAATCACCCACTTCCCACACGCAACAATAGCTCATGGGTACCACAGATAACTTTGCCAAAGTTCTCTGCCAAAGTTGAGCACGTGAAGCTTGCAGCTCCCACTACATCGCTCTGACCAAGAAGGGTAAAAGAATAGCAAAGAAACAGCACTAACAAAGTTTAGACCCATAAATTTTGAAGGTCTAGCTACCATATTATTACCCACAAGGGTAAAGGAACAGTACCACTGCTGGATAATTGGAAAGTCCCTGTGTGTCAACCTCTGTGCTTCGTGGCAAGGTAGACTAGCAAACATGCCCAACCTTTACTCACATTCGAGAAAACACTCCCAACAAGATTGCTTGCTCCAAAATCGAAGAGGCACCGCCTTCCGAATCTCGAGAGCCAGACTCCCAACATGATTACTTTCTCAAAAATCGAAGAGACACTGCTCCCCGAATCTTCGAGAGCCAAACCCCCAGCATGATTGTTTTCTCAAAAATCGATGAGGCATCGTTCTCCGAATCAATCGAAGAGGCGCTCGCTTTCTCAAAAGCTGGGCTGCTCAGAGACCACGAGGGCCGATCTCAGAAATCGAAGAGGCACCTACTTTTCTAGCCTTGTCAGCACCTGTCACACGCACACTCAGCTTTGCAGAAATTATGGGCATTCTGTCGAAGATTTCTAGTGAAGTAGAAAGCACATGAATCTTACTGTTCAATTACCCACTTCCCACACGCAACAATAGCTCATGGGTACCACAGATAACTTTGTCAAAAGTTCTCTGCCAAAGTTGAGCACGTGAAGCTTGCAGCTCCCACTACATCGCTCTGACCAAGAAAGGTAAAAGAATAGCAAAGAAACAGCACTAACAAAGTTTAGACACATAAATTTTGAAGGTCTAGCTACCATAATTATTACCCACAAGGGTAAAGGAACAGTACCACTGCTGGATAATTGGAAAGTCCCTGTGTGTCAACCTCTGTGCTTCGTGGCAAGGTAGACTAGCAAACATGCCCAACCTTTACTCACATTCGAGAAAACACTCCCAACAAGATTGCTTGCTCCAAAATCGAAGAGGCACCGTCCTCCGAATCTCGAGAGCCAGACTCCCAACATGACTACTTTCTCAAAATCGAAGAGAGGGTAAAGGAACAGTACCATTGCTGGATAATTGGAAAGTCCCTATGTGTCAACCTTTGTGCTTCGTGGCAAGGTAGACTAGCAAACATGCCCAACCTTTACTCAAATTCGAGACAACACTCCCAACAAGATTGCTTGCTCCAAAATCGAAGAGGCACCGCCCTCCGAATCTCGAGAGCCAGACTCCCAACATGATTACTTACTCAAAAATCGAAGAGACACTGCTCTCCGAATCTCGAGAGCCAGACCCCCAGCATGATTGCTTTCTCAAAAATCGAAGAGGCATCGTTCTCCGAATCTCGAGAGCCAGATACCACAGACCACTTTTTCAAAGTGCTCTGACAGAGTTAAAACATGTGAAACTGACAGCTCCCACTACCGTGCTATGACCAAGTAGGGTAAAGGAATAGCATTACTACTTGTTGTTAGGGAGACGCCTATATATGTCAACCTCCATCCCCAACGGACAGGCAGACCTGCAAAAATGCTCAACCCTTCATCATATCTGAGAGGGCACTCCCAACGAAGCCTTTCGAAATATTCAGCTTTCTTTCCCCCCGATAATACCTCTGCAAACAAGCTATACTAGAGCAAGAATATCTCATATCATCAGGGTTAAAAGCAAGAGTATCCCATATCATGCTTTTTCCCTATCTTTTCCTTTGGCCTTGTTTTTACCTGCAAGACAAGGAGAAAGAGAGCAATCAGTCAGCACTTGGAATCAAGCTTCCAGCCAGGAACTGACTGCCTGGAACCCCTTACCTGATTACTTACCTGGCATTGCTCTCGAGTACTCATCTTCAACATCTTATGTTTCCAAGGAAGATTCCGCATCTGCTTGAGGAACAGATAGGGCAAGTGCGAAGGATACAAGGAAGGATACAAGGAAGCATGTGGAGACAAGCGTAACAGCACACACGTGCCGATACATCCATTACTCTGTCAAAAGCAAAAGTATCCCATATCAGCAGGGTGGAACGTACTCTAGATTTGATGGACTTGTTTTGACCCTCAAATTCTTCAGTCGGCCTTATACTCTGGAGGAAACCAGAAAACCCTCCAGCTCAGTTCAAGAATAAGCCTGTGGAAAGTTACTTCTTCAAAAGCAAAAGTATCTCATATCATCTCTTTCTCATTTTTCTTCTCTTTATCCTTCATGCTGTTGCAAGATGGGGAGAAGGTGAACAATCAGTCGGAGCTCTGATTGCTTACCTTGTCTGTCACCTCTTTCAGCAGACCCCCTAGCTCGGCGACTTGGGGGACTCCTACTACATGGTTTGTATCGCGCTTGACCAAGCCTGAAACTACAAGTAAGCTTCAAGTGAAATTGATACATTACCTTGTGCATCTCCACCAGTTAAAGATACCACCCCTGGATGGAGGAAAAGTACTTCCAGAGAAGATGCCACATCTACCTATGAGACAGATAAGGCAAGTCAAGACGACACCACACTCCGATACTTAGAAGTTTCGTGATTACGAGATCATTCTCCCACAATATTTCCTAATGTCATTTGTACTAAAATCATTCACTTGTACTCACTAAAGGAGAGCTTGAACCTATGTACTTGTGTAAACCCTTCACAATTAATGAGAACTCTTCTATTCCGTGGACGTAGCCAATCTGGGTGAACCACGTACATCTTGTGTTTGCTTTCCTATCTCTATCCATTTATATACTTATCCACACTAATGACCGGAGAGCAATCTAGCGAAGATCACAAAAAGCGACCGTTTTCGCTACCTAGGATCTATCTTGCAAGAGAACGGAGAATTAGATGGAAATCTCAACCATAGAATACGAGCTGGATGGATGAAGTGTAAGAGCGCATCCGGCGTGTTGTGTGACCGTCGTAGGCCACTGAAGCTCAAGGGAAAATTTTATAGGATGGCAATAAGGCCAGCGATGTTGTATGGCACAGAATGTTGGGCGGTGAAGCATCAACACGTACACAAAATGGGTGTAGCGGAGATGAGGATGCTTCGTGGGATGTGTGGGCACACGAGAAAGGATAAGATTGGGAATGAGGATATCCGAGGTAAAGTAGGAGTAGCCGAAATTGTAGGAAAGATGAGAGAAAATCGGCTCCGGTGATTTGGACATGTGCAAAGAAGGCCGACTGACACTCCGGTTCGAAGATGTGACTACGGGACAGAGGTTCAGGGCCGAAGGGGTAGAGGAAGACCTAGGAAAACTTTGGAAGAGACTCTAAGAAAAGACTTAGAGTACTTGGATCTAACGGATGACATGACACAAAACCGAGCGCAATGGCGTTCTAGGATTCATATAGCCGACCCCACTTAGTGGGAAAAGGCTTTGTTGTTGTTGTTGGTCTTATCATGTCTTGTCAGCCTGGTTGACTCGCCTACTAGGCGGATTGATCCATTGCTCAACTCTTACAGTGACTATGAAGATAGTATTTATGGTAACTAAGGCAACTCGTGAGGCATATAATTGATTTTTTTTTTAATTTTTTTTTTATCTTAAACTAAATTAATTTTAATTGAAACTATAGGTCTTGCATGGAGCTCTCGTGAGCCTTGGATCTTTGCATCATTATCCTATGATGGGAGGGTAAGAACCACTAGGGACACCAAGATCTATTTGTTTCAAATCTTTCATTTTTTTCTTCCAGTAGAAGCATGAATTTTAGTATAAGTTTTGTTAAATGATGCCAGTTTCATATGCATTTGTAACATGCTTCATCTGCAATTCGCATACATGCATCAAATGCGTCATCGTCACACAGGCATGTATTGTCTGTGTTTTGAAAGAAGTGTGCACGCTAACCAGTTAAACTATGTCTAATAAAAGCGACATTCTTTCTTTTCCATGAAAAACAGGTAGTTGTAGAATCAGTGAAGCCATTTCTCTCCAAGAAATAAGGTTTGAGAAACTGGTCCCTGTTGTTGTGATTGGTCTACTTGGTGTGTGTTGTTCTGATTTCGTTTGACATTCATTCATGTGTTGAGTACAATTCATCTTTCTTAGATTTCGTGTTTGTCAAATAAGCTCATTGTGTTTCCCTCCCTCCCCCCTTTAGTTATTTGAATGATTACTTGAATAATGGGTTTTTTAACACCTGCGACTGTTACCAATTTTGATCTTATCATCTCTCGCTTGAAGGATGTGAAGGATATGTACAACACTGGAATTTCAAAACTTACATTTGTGCTGCTCAACCAATCTTTGTACATCAGCTCTCTCATTGCTTGACGATTCATGCAATGTGAGAGACGCAAACACAAGAATACGTAATAAAATCGAAGACTCTTGAAGGTGGATTTTTGTTTTGGTTTATGAGGTGGTAGTTGTTGACAAAGATGGATTTGTTGCCTCCTCAACTTTCGTGATCAAGTGACGAGGTTAACCTTATCCAATCCAGATTCCAGACACGCCAAAAGAAATGTGCTTGGTTTCCTCGTCCTGCAACAGCACAGGAGACATCCAAGTGGTCCCACATGTTCTATCAGCCAGACACATGGCCATCATTACACCATGACTCTCTCTCTCGTGCCACCTCCTACTTTACACGTAAGATACCTTATCCTCATTTCTGTCAAATGCAAGATCGTTTATCCACAAGCATTTCTACATGAGAAGCTGGTGGTCAACAGGTGCTCCGGCCATGTCATCATGCTGCCAAGTACTGACACGTGGTGGAGCCAATTGGTTAGACGCGTGTCAAGCAACCTGATAAGGGTTTGTGGAATTCAGAATCTGAAGCCCTCTGCCTATTGGAAGGGGTAGTTGTCTTATTTTCTACCTATATTTTAACAAAAATATTAGTGAAAATCTTTTTTAGAAAAAGACTTTTAGACCCCTACCCCATTTCTCTCCCCCACCGTCTCTCTCTTCTAGTCCCATTTCTCTTGCCTCGTGCCTCTCTGTCTTCTATTTCTTCTCTCTCGGCTTCTCCACCGACCGCCACGGCTGGAAGCTGCGGTTGGTCTACAAGCTCATGCCCAATAGAAGCCTCCAAGAAGCATTGCTGGATTGGAAGAAAATGTTCAGTGTTGTGCTTGATGTGGCTCTTGGGCTCGAGTATTTGCACCATGTTTGTGACTCACCGGTGATTCACGGTGATGTGAAGCCTAGCAGTGTGTTGCTGGACTCGGATTCCCAATGCCAAGATTGGAGATTTTGGATTGGCGAGGTTGAAAACAGAGGTGGATGATCAGGGTGAGCACGGTGGGAGTTTTGGTGGAGGAAGGGCAAGAGGAGGAGGAGGAGGAGAAAGAGAGCGGGGGAAGGAAAAGCGAGATGGGGATGATAATGGATCGATTTTGGAGGAGAGTGTGAGTTTGAATGTTGTGACTGGCGGGCTTGAAGAGGGTCGGTCGCCCGAGTGTTGTGTGGTGAGGATTGGGGATTCCGTACGACGTGGCCGGAACGGGGTTTTATTAAGCGAGTATAATAGTAGACGGCGAAAATATAATGTGGATAGAAAATAGTTCAATGATGTGAGCACTGTTATTTTTTTGGGGTTTGAAAGTGGATAAAGTATTCGGCATTCATCTGTTTGAATTTAGCGCAAATTCAAATCAATAGAGTTTTGTTTTTTGAAACAGGTGTGGGCGAATGAGAGAAATTATCCTGTTCTTGAAATACATTATTTAGGATAAACTAACTCATAATCGCACATATCTACATTAAGAGGAGAGTCGACAAAATCTCACAATGGACTAACCATAATAATTGGTTCGAATTCGTTATTGGTGAGAATCAAATCTAAGATCTCTCACTTTACAAGTGAAGAGTAATACTACTAAACCTTAGTAGTAAGTTACTAATTCCTTGATTTTAGTTGAATTGGTTGGAAAGTAGTAACAAACTTCATCAAAAGGAGGAGATTTGAATTCACCAATGTGACGCGTGTTGGGCATTCAAAGTCATGTAAACGATGCATGATGTTGCAAATGTAAAAAAATTAGTGCATGCAAGTTTTTTCCGTTTCATTAAAATGCATGTATGTGAATATGAATGGATTCACTTTGAAACTAGTGGCTACTTACTTAATTTGTCATATGAATTTTGGCTAGAGTAAGAGTCAAGACTTGTGGAAGAGAGCACGTGTCAGCGGTAGAGAGAGCCATGGTGGGGAGAAACACAAAACAGAAGAAAGAATGGAAGTGGGGTCAAGTCTGCTCACGTGTAACGGTGGTAAGATAAAATCGCGGGATTGGAGGCGGAGGGCACGGCCGATTGTTTGCACTTGCAGCCACCAACCCATCTGACTCACTCGACTCTTCTGTTTTGCTCACCCTTAGCTTAAGGTGACTGTTACCCCTTCTAGAATCTTGCCACGTCTCTTTAAATGATGGATATCTATGAACAAAATGATCGGCCCTTTTTATAATTAATTCAATTTTTTATTTTTTTATTTACAGATAACCATGAGGCCAAATTTTAGTCGCCCTAATCTCAACTTTGCTAATTTCTCCAATTTCTGAGTCTATCCCTCAATTTCTCGTAACAAACCAACCACATGATTACCATTTCCCTCCACCGTCTCTATTTCTGTCACATCCAGCAGGAGGAGGAGGAGAAATTGAAAAAGGTGGAGAGGTTGATTTACAAAAGACAAGAGGATGCGAGGCCTCCCGAGTCCCTCCATCCTTCCTTCCCTCCTTAGTTGTTCATCTTCTTCTGGCCAGTGGCCACAGCCCACCTCATTCAATCAGTCAATTTTCAAATGTCGCTCTGCGTTGCTCTCATTGCCCTCCCTCCCTCCCCCCTAACCTTCTCCCTTATTTCTTTCTTTATAAATTGAACCACTAACCAAATTACTTCTCCAACCTCATTAATTAATTAACTTCCCCCAAATTCAAAACCAAAAAACCAAAAAACCAAAACCAAACCCAAAACCCAAACCCAAACCCAAACCCAAACTCAGGGAGAGAGACTACTTAGTCAGTCTCCCAATCCAACTCCTACAGTGAGGACTCCCTCCCAACCCTCTCAGTCTCAGTCCACGTTTCCTCCGCTTGGGATTCATTGGGATGGCTTTTTTGTAAACGCAATGGTGGCCACTTCCAGAGGCTTCGCTTCTCCTCCTGATTTCAAGCTCACCCGCCTCGGCCTCGCTTTCCATCCATATCCCCATCCCCATCCTTCTACCGATGCTAATGCCGGCCGCATGCGGGATCTCAGGAAGCGCAGGAGGAGACTCTCCCTTCCCAGGGCCGACCCACCCGCAGTCACTCTAATCACTTGCTGCTGCTCCGACCCCGTTGTTCCGATTCTCTCCGGAAAGACCGTCGACAAGGCGGACGACCGGCGCTTCGATTCCAAGAAAAGGGCTCACAGAGCTGCTGGAGTCCAAGCCTCCGCCGCATTACCCTTCTTCGCTTCGTCTTCCTCTTCTTCTCCTGCTCAGTACGTTACATTTTCAATTTTCAAATTTCAATTTTCAATTTATGAGGGAATTTACTTCAATTCCGTTCTGTTTGTTCTAGTATTGTTTTTGGCTTTTGGTGTTTATAATTAATTCACTCTACTCTACTGTATATTGCTGCAGATCTCGCTTCCTGTCCAAACAAGAGAAACACTACCCTCGCTGTACCCCAAGAAACTCCGGTCCACAATCTCGTGACAGTCCTCCGAAAAGAGGTAATTCAATCAATCAATCATTCACCACTTGCTAATATACCATCATTGTGCTTCATGGATGGTTTCGGTAGATAATTACTATGATATTTGATTGATCATTGTTCTTGTTGTGATTATTGTGGTGTTTGATATGTTTTATAGATACTGGCATTGCCAATGAGAAGGAGTGGGGCATCAGCTTGTTAAACGAAAATGTAAACGAGTCTGGTACCAATGAAGATGGCAGCACTTGGTATCGCGAAAGTGGCGAGGACCTTGGCAACAATGGCTACAGATGTAGGTGGACAAGGATGGGTGGTACCTCCCACGACGCTTCTTCACAATGGAAAGAAACTGTATAATATCATAATTTATCATAATTATTTTGCTTTTTTAACTTTGTTAGCTCTGCCATGTATGACTTGACAAACCTTCTTGACTATCCTTCACTTTATTAGGCATCTCCGTCATTTTGTTTACAGTAATAGTTATCACTGAATTCTAAGATTGTATTATCAAGGCGCCTTTATTTCATTCTCAAAAGCCCTAAAAAAGTAGAGGGGGACTTGGACATCCTGCTACCTGTAAACTAGTGTCATATTCATATTCCAAGTCCCTTGCTGCATTGACTTTGTCTTTATAACCCCATTGAGAATCATCCCAGGTGGATGCATTTAATTGGATTTATTGATCTCATTGACAGTGGTGGGAGAAAAGTGACTGGACCGGATACAAAGAGCTAGGTATACTTCTTCCTTGTCTTCATCTTCAACTGCTAACTCTCATTAACCATGTCCATCACTACAAAATTTCAATGAATGAGATATCTTAGGTTCTTCATTGTCCTGAATAAACCACAAACTTCAGAGTAGTTTGACATAAACAAAGCAATACATTCATTTTTCTAGACGGGAAAAAAGTTTTTGCTTCAATATAAAACATTTATGGTCATCTAATAAGTAAATTTGTAGGCACTGTCTTTGTAGGTCCAGTATCATCCTTGTTTCTGGAAATTTTTGAACTCAACCCTTCCCACTGCTGTGAAAACTAGCACAAATATCTAAGGGCATTGAACGACAATCATTCACTACAGACGTGATTAATTAATCAATATCTGTTTTTTTTTTTTTTTTTTTTTTTTTTTTTTTTCCTGAAGACACTCTTCTGTCCTGTGTACGTTTACAGCAACTCGTCTTTCAGCTAATTTCAGTACTATATCATGGGCATGGGTACATATAGGCATGCATAATTCCCATCTGTTATCTTTTCATAGGTGTGGAGAAATCTGGTAGAAATGCTGAAGGGGATTCGTGGTGGGAAACTTGGCAAGAAGTTCTTCATCAAGATGAATGGAGGTCTTTATTTTACCTTTATTTCATTTAAGTTTTAGAGAATTACTTTTAACTTACTAAGCGAGCGGTAGTTTTAGAAATTTTTTAAATTTATATTTCTTGACCTCCTCTTGTTTCATTCTCCCAATATAAATCACTGTTGCAACTTTGAAAGCACAGTAATGTAGCAAGAATTGAGAGAAGTGCACAGAAACAAGCAAAATCAGGCACTGAAAATGCTGGATGGTATGAGAAATGGTAAGCTAAAGTACGGTTTGCTGCTAATTCATTTTTCAGTCACATTATAATGCATTGAAGGATTGATGAATTAGATAAAACATATGGACGATTTTACTTAATAATTTGGATGCAGGTGGGAGAAATATGATGCTAAAGGCTGGACCGAGAAAGGAGCACACAAATATGGAAGACTTAATGAGCAGTCCTGGTGGGAGAAGTGGGGAGAGCATTATGATGGAAGGGGATCTGTTCTCAAATGGTTTTTTTCTTCTAATTATCTTCTCTAACTGACTTGATTTAATTCTTCATCTGTTCATTTAAAACAAAAAACCCTTCATTGTTCCTCCTTCCTCTTAAATTCGGAAATTCGTTTGTCATCCGGTATCATCATTTGACCATTTACAATGAAAAATATGAAGCACAATACAGGCAGCTAAAAAATATCTAGTCATTGATATATGCTGGACGCTATAATTTTCAGGACTGATAAATGGGCTGAGACTGAACTTGGAACCAAATGGGGAGACAAGTGGGAAGAGAAGTTCTTTGCTGGAATAGGTTCGCGACAAGGGGAGACATGGCATGTATCTCCAAGCGGTGAACGTATGCAAGGACCTTGAACTATGATCAACACAAAATTTGTTTGCCCTTAATTGTTTCCTTTTACTATACCACGTGTCAAACATATATATAGTCTTGAATCTGTTCCAATTATTCAGATCTTCATGTTCATTTAACTTTTCAATAATGTAATCTGATGCAACTCTCTTTTTGTTCTCTAATGTCTAGGTTGGTCAAGGACATGGGGAGAAGAGCACTTTGGAAATGGGTACGGAAAAGGGATAAGCTTGCTGAACTGCATTGTCATCTATTGTTTTGGTTTTTCTTTGACAAGTTAACTTGCTTTCTCGTTGCAGTAAGGTGCACAAATATGGGAAAAGCACGACTGGGGAAAGCTGGGATATTGTTGTGGACGAGGAGACCTATTACGAGTAATAGTTTCTCCCTCTCTCTGTCTCTCTCTCTGTCTCCAACTCTCTCTCCACACACACTTCCGCGCTGGAGTTGGTTCTGTCTGCATTTAGTATATTGAAGCAGTCAAAAGGATTCTAGGGAATCAAATATATATAATTTAGATTATATCTTCTGTTATTGCTCTTACTGTAAAACTAATTTTGATTTTTCAATCTTTGATGAAGGGCTGAGCCGCATTACGGATGGGCAGATGTTGTTGGTGACTCTAGCCAATTGCTGTCAATTAAACCTCGAGAAAGGCCACCTGGTGTCTACCCTGCCCTTGATTTTGGATCATTGTCGCCTCCGGTTGATGAACCGCCAGATGAATTTTCTCCACAATGAAAGGTGACTAAACTTAGGTGGTCTAGTTTAGAATGTGGATCGAATTCCAATTATATTGGCTGAAACTCGTCTTTTGTAACGGACATTTTAGTCTTCATTTTATTCATTCTTTCAGTCGCCACTACGTTTAGTTTTTTTGTTTTGAGTTTTTAGTTAGGGTGAATGCTGCTATATTTTTCGCATTATTTTTTTTTTTGGAGTTGCATTCTACTTCTTCCATACCCGACGGAGATTTCTAGTATTTATATGTTCTTGCTTGTATGACCAAAATACGTTTTCACAATTTTGATTCGGTTTTTTCAACTTTTACAAAAATCATTACAAAGTCTTATTTGGTGCTGTTTTCTAGAACGTTATCCATTGGGAGATTTCATTGACCCCTGGAAATAGTTTTGATGAATTTTCTAAATCACAAAATAGAATAATAGATAGGAAAATCCTAGCATGGTCCTAGAGTGGTTCTGGCATCCGTATTGTCTTTGAAAGGTCTTAACTAATTTTTTACAAGCTTAGGGTGGGCGGAGAAAATTAAATTGAATTATTCAAAGTCTTTTTAGAAATTGGCAAAACCGTTAGCGACTTATTGCTCACAATTTTTTGTAAAAATCAATTTTTTTAGTTTTGCGAGATCTTTTGCATGCGAATTAAGGGAAACATTTTAAGCCCATTCGAAGCGATCTTTTAATTTATTTGACTTCAAAAAGCTTTATTTTTTATTTTTTATTTTTTTATTTTTTTTTTGAATTTTCCAAGTCGCGAAATAGAATTATTGATAGAAGATTAGTCGGTTTTGCGAATTTGTTTATAAATCATTATTCAATCTATTTATTTTCACCTTCATCTCACCGTAAAGTTTTGAAAATTAAGTTAAGACATTATGTTGATATTCTTAAGGGTGGACCCCATTTTAACAATGTTTTGGGGCTCACAACCATATTTTTTTAACGTAGTTTTTTAGTTTCGGCTTAAATAGTCTACTGAATATACATTTGTTGCTCAATAAATTGTAAATCTGCTTCCAAACGCCTTATAAATTTTTCCTTAATGCTCATGGAAATATGTCTTGAAAATAAAAAATTTGCATTTTTGAGGTAAAAAACATGTTAACACTCACGGTTTTTAATTGGTTTTGCAAATTCGTATAGAATTCATTATTCAATCTACTTATTTTCACCTTTGCCTCACCATAAAGTTTTGAAAATTAAGGTTACATTCTATTGATATCCTTGAGGGTGGAACCCCATTTTAACAATGTTTTGGGCCTCATAGCTATATTTTTGACTTATTTTTTTAGTTTTCTGCTCAAATAGTCTACTAAATGTACATTTATTGCTCAATAAATCCTAAATCCACTTCCAAATGCCTTATAAAGTTTTTCTTAATGCTCACACAAAATATTTTGTATAAATAAAAATTTACATTTTTCGCAAAAAACGTGGGTCACGGTATTTAGTCGGTTCTTACAAGTTCGTACATAAATTATCATTCAAACTATTTATTTTCACCTTCGCCTCACTGTGAAGTTTTGAAAATTAAAGTAAGATTTTCTGTCAATATTCTTGAGGGAGGAATCCCATTTGGGCCTCACTACTATTATTTTCACTTATTTGCTTACTTTTTGGGTTTAAATATTATACTAAATATACATTTATTGCTTAATAAACCGTAAAACCATGTCCAAATATCTTATAAAGTTTTCCCTAAAGTTCATGGGACGTAGTTCGCAAAAAAAAAAAAAATCATTTCTCACAAAAAAATGTGAGTTAACACTCACGGTTTTTAGTCGATTTGTGCAAATTTGTACATAAATTGTCGTTTAAACTATTTATTTTCACCTTTGATGCACCGTGAAGTTTTGAAAATTAAAGTAAGACTGTATGTTAATATTCTTGAGAGTGGAACCCCATTTTGACAATGTATGGGGCTTCACTATTATATTGTTCACTTATTTGCTTAGTTTTCGACTTAAATATTATACTAAATATACTTTTATTGCTCATTAAACCGTAAAAGAACTTCCAAATGTCTTATAAAGTTATCTTTAATGCTCATGGAAAATATTTCACGAAATAATTTTTTGTGAAGTTTTAACAAAAAAAACGTGGGTATTCGGCAGGCTTGACACATGCAAAACGATGAGGACTCTACGAAGCAGAATGAGGCGAACCTAGGCGAACGGAAAGGGAGGCGGGCCCTGCTCATTGAAAATACGAGCGGGCTTTTGGCACACAAAAAGAGAATGGATCCGTCGCACACAAAATGGGGCTGGATCTGTCGTGCAAACTAAGGCCACTCGGGACATACAAAATGAGGTGAGCTGGTGCACGGAAAATGGGGATATAAAACGAAATCAAAAGGTATTTGAATCTACATAAAGTAATGTAGGAAGAAAAGAAAATTGAATGAAAAAATAAATAAATAAATAAATAAATGAAATAGAAAAGGATACGATCGGTAGTTTACTACCGATTATTTTCAGAAATTGTCGCTAGCTTATTAGCAACAGTTCCAAGTACGAATTGCTAGCTTCATACCGAACCCCCATTTTCAATTTTTCTTATTAGTTTTTTCTTTATGTTTTTCGCTTATGTTTGTTTTATTTCTCTTACCATAACAACAAACTATCAAACTCATATTCTTCAAAATATATTTTTCCGTGCAAAATCTATTATAATACATATTTAAACACTTGTAATCAACGATTTAAAACCTAAATTTAAAGATATTTGAATTTAATAGTGGTTACTCAAATAAAGTAATGTACGAAGAAAAAATTGAAGGGAAAAAAAAGCAAAAAATAATAAATAAGGGAATTGTTATTAGCACTCCAAAAATCTCATTTTACACTCCAAACTTTCTATATTAGAAAAGAAAAATACACTTGTGAGGAGTGTAGAATGAGATTTTTGGAGTATCAATAACACTTCCCATAAATAAATTGGAATTGGGAAAGATCGGTACCACACTACCGATCCTCGTCCAGTCGTATTTAAATCACCGTTCAATCTATTTATTTTCACCTTTGCCTCACTGTGAAGTTTTGAAAATTAACGTAAGACTTTTCGTTGAGATTCTTGAGGGTAAAACCCTATTTTTGGGTCTACTACTATATTTTTCACTTTTTTATATTTATTTTTCGGCTTAAATATTCTACTAAATATACATTTATTGTTCAATACATTGTAAATCCACTTCCACATTCCTTACAAAGTTTTCCATTATGCTCAGCGAAAAAATTTCGCGAAAATAAAAAAATTTGCATTTTTGACAAAAAAACGTTGGTTACTCACATTTTTAGTCCGTTTTGCAAATTCGTACATAAATCATCGTCCAATCTATATTTCTTTTCACCTTCGCCTCACCATGAGGTTTGAAAATTAAGGAAAGATGTTCCGTTGATATTCTTGAGGGTGGAACCCGATTTTAACAATGTTTTGGGCCTCACAACTACATTTTTCACTTATTTTTTTAGCTTTCGCTGTTAAATATTCTACTAAATAGACATTTATTGCTAAAAAAAAAATCATAAAACTGCTTCAAAATGCATTATAAAGTTTTCCTTAATGCTCACGGAAAATATTTCACAAAAATAAAAAATTTGCATTTTTGACAAAAAAAACGTGGGTTAACACTTATGATTTTTAGTTGGCTTTTACAAACTTGTATATAAATCATCGTTCAAACTATTTATTCTCACCTTCAACTCACCGTGAAGTTTGAAAATTAAGGTAATACTTTCCGTTAATATTGTTGAGGGCAGAACCCATTCAACAATGTTTTGGGCCTCACTACTATATTTTTCACTAATTTATTAAGTTTTCAACTTAAATAGTCTACTAAATATACATTTGTTGCTCAATAAATCGCAAATCGCTTCCAAATGCCTTATAAAATTTTCCTTAATGCTCAAGGAAAATATTTCGCGAAAATAAAAAAATTGCGTTTTTGACAAAAAAAACGTGGGTTAACACTCACTGTTTTTAGTCGGTTTTTACAAATTCGTACATAGCTTGTTGTTCAATCTATTTATTTTCACCTTCGCCTCACCGTGAAGTTTGAAAATTAAAGTAATAGTTTCCATTAATATTCTTGGGGGTGGAACCCTATTTTAATAATGTTTTTGGCCTAACTACTATATTTTTCACTTATTTTTTTACCTTTCGACTTAAATAGTCTTCTAAATATTTGTTGCTCAATAAATCGGAAATTGGCTTTCAAATGCCTTATAAAATATTCCTTAATGCTCACAAAAAATAATTCCTGAATATTTTTTTTCATTTTTGACAAAACATGGGTTAACACTCAGTTTTTACAAAGTTGCATGTAAATCATTGTTCAAACAATTTGTTTGTACCATACTTGACCAATCCCGAAACTACTAGCACTGGTCAAGGTTATACCGTCAAGGACCCAGAAGAGTTTCTCTCCAACCAGGAGGCCAATCACAGTGCAACACGTGTCGACATCGGAAACAATCACAGCGCGACACATGTCAACATCAGAAGCCAATCACAACACGACACGTGTTAATGTCAGAACAAAGCTAGAAACTCTTCTATAAAATGAGATCATTCTCCCACAATATTTCATAATGTCATTTGTACTAAATCATTCATTAGTACTCACTAAATGAGCGCTTGAACCTATGTACTTGTGTAAACCCTTCACAATTAAGGAGAACTCCTCTACTCCGTGAACGTAGCCAATTTGGGTGAACCACGTACATCTTGTGTTTGCTTCCCTGTCCCTATCCATTTACATACTTATCCACACTAGTGACCGGAGCAATCTAGCGAAGGTCACAAACTTAACACTTTCTGTTGTACCAAAGTCCTCACTGATTTTGTGCATCAACATAATTTATTTTCACATTCGCCTCACCGTGAAGTTTAAAAATTAAAGTACTACTTTCTGTTAATATTCTAGAGGGTGGAACCCAATTTTAACAATGTTTTGGGCTTCACTACTAAATGTTTCACTTATTTTTTTAGTTTTTGAGTTAATTAGTCTACTAAATATACATGTGTTGCTCAATAAATATTAAGTCTGCTTCCAAATGCGTTATAAATTTTCCTTAATGCTCACGGAAAATATTTTACGAAAAACAAAAAATTTGCACTTTTGAAACAAAAAACGTGGGTTAACACACACTGTTTTTATAATTCATACATAAATCGTCGTTCAAACTATTTATTTTCAC